CGAGCGTGGCTTCCCGAGACGGGGCCGCACGAGCGCTGGCCCCCGGCCCCGCCCCAGGCCGTTCAGAATTTTCCAAACTGCCCGCCCCCGCAAAGAGAGCATCGGCGCCCACCCGACAGATGAGGACGCGAGGCTCCAAGACCAGCAGTCGCTTCCAGAGGGCCCCCATTCCCAGCTTTGCCAAGCTTCCAGGCTGGCTTTGTCCCCCTCGACTTTCACCGGGGCAGCGGGTTCCAAAGCAGGCTCCGCCCCCGGCGCGCGGAGAGACCCGGGTGGCCTGTGTGCTGGCATCCAGCCTTACCCCCAGGCCTCCCGTTTCACACCCAGGCTCACCTGCAGGCGCCCCACGACCTCGCCCACGGCTTGGCCCGGGGGCCCGTCGAGCCGCAGCGTAATCGCCTCCCCGCGGCCGTGGTACAGATCGAGCTGCTGCTCGGAGAAGGTCCAGGCCAGCACGTCGCGGCAGGCACAGTTGAAGACTACGCGGCCGTCGCGGGGCGCCACCAGCACAAGAGCCTCGGCCGAGATGCCCAGCAGGCAGGGCACCTCGGCGCTGTCAGGACCGACTGCCTCGGCGCCGGCCGCGACCCGCGCCCCGGGCGCCACGCGCACTCCCCACACCAGCGAGCCCGCAGCCTGCAGCTCGGCGCCCGGTCCCCGAGGAGGCGCCCGGCGCCTCCCGCCCAGGGAGGGCAGGCCGAAGCGCGAGGCCGAGTCCAGCGACGTAGTGGTCACCTCGTTGGTGGCCAGGTCCTGCAGGTACTGCTGGCGCGTACGCGTGGCCATGGCGTGGAACTGGCGTGCGTGGCCCGCCGCCTGCTCGCCATTGAGCGCCTTGGCCAGCAGGAAGGCCCGGAAGTCGGCATTGGCAGGGAAGGGGCCTCCGCCCGGGGGCAGAGCTGGCCCAAAGGCTGGGGTGTCCTGGGTGCGGCTCACGGCCACCCTGCGGGGAGGGAGGCGGTAGTGAGTAGGGAGGATCCAGGACACCGTGCCCATGGGAGACCTGGGACCACCCGGGCACCCACCTGTAGGAGGTGTGCGGTGTGCAGGGTTCATGCACGCGCACCACTAGGAACACGTGCTGGAAGTGCGAGCGGATGGTCGTGGGGCAGAAGGGCTTGCTGCCAGGCTCCTGGAATACTATGGTTACAATATCGTTGCCAATGTGGCGCTTGCGCAGGAGCTGGGAGTTAAATGGTGGGGGATGTGAGGGCACCGCCTGTCTCCTCCTCAAACCTCTCCTCATTCACGCAGGGCAAAGCCTGGGCACCAGTGGCTCCCCACCTGCCCATGGAGAAGGCCTGGGTTGTTCCTCTTTGGGAAGGGGCCACTAGAGGGGAGGGTTGTTAGGGGTCAACAGAGCTCAGGCCAAGGTTCAAATATTGCCACCTATGCAGCACCCTCCAGGGTTTCCTGGAAGCCCCTGGCCACCCCACCCCCATCCTAAGCCCCCCACACACCTGCTGCTGGTTATTAGGGGTGTAAGGCAGCATCGTGGACACATGGAACATGATCTCATGGTCTCGGTACGTCGTGTAGACAGAATGTGTGCCCGTGGAATCCGCTGTGGCCAGGAAATTGGGGACACAGAAGGAGAGCAAAGGGAATGTGAGTGGCTTGAACCTGCCATCCCTGACTGCACCCAGGAGCCTCCATGCCTTAAACAGCAGGGGGACAACCCCTTCATGTCACCAGCCTGTGCCCAAGCCACGAGGTCTAAGGACCTCAGCCTTAACTACCCCAACAGGCTACAGCCCCACCAGGGCGAAGGGAGGTCAAGGATGAGGGTGTTGAGACAGAATGAAGGCAGCTTGGCCTTTGCAGCCCTGATTCAGGTCCACAGCCTACCCAGAGAACTCTCCAGCTCCCAGCCCCAGGACAATGTGGAAAAAGGAATGACAAAGGCGGCTCTCACCACAGAAGTCTGCCCTTCAGCATGAGTCTTCCCCACCCCTCCAGCACCCCGGGCCTCACTTTTGGTGTCCAGCTGGGCCCGGTAACTCTCAAAGCCTTTGAGCCGCACCACGTCACCCAGCAGGGTGAGGAACTGCATGAAGGCCGCTCCCGCCTCCTGGTTGTTGTACATCTCCTCCTCGGAGCCCTGGCCTGCCCGGCAGTACAGGATGCCCACCTTGCGCTGGAAACTCAGCTGGGGGGACAGCGGGGAAGGGGAAGGCAGAAGGCATAGGCCTCAGTCCCCCACCGGCTGCACTCCTGCCACATCGTGGTGAACGGACGGGACACTGGCCCAGGGGTGAGCTGCCTGATTCTGTGGCCCTGAGCACCATCCCTCTCTGAGCCACTTCTGTGTCCTGGCCTATCAAGTGGGGCAGTCGTGTTGCTCCTAGTACTCAGGAGGGTGGAGGAGGTCACAGGTGGGAAGGGATCAGAGGGAGTTCGTTCTCATGTGACAATCGAGGAGGTAATTCACAGAAAGGACCCCATGCACAGTGCACTTGCTGCCAATAAATGTTCCCATTGTCATCCTTATCTCAAGGCCAGATTGTCCTACCCTCCCTCGAAACTGAGGAACCCCCAGCCCAGTCTCTGGAGGCCTTGAGCCATGCGCCACCTCTGCTCCAGTTTCTCTGCCCTCTCCGCTCCTGGCTCCTTTCCTCTAACCCCATTAAAACCCTGGGTTCCCGTCCAGCTCTTGCCTCCCTGCTTCATAGCTAAGCTTGTCTACACTCACAGTCCCCGCTTCAATTTCATTCCTCCCAACCCCCTGCAGCCCCAATTCTACCCCAGCTTCTACACCCCAACTTCCCTACAAGCCCACAGGTATGGCCTCACCCTGGAACACTCCTGGCCACAGCTGGCACTGGGGACAAGTGGAACCTCACCTTGCCTGAGGCCCCAGGGACCCCACCCTCTTCTGCCTGGGCCTCTTCTCCACCCGTGCTCCTCCCCCTCAGTGGCCACCTCCATGAGGTGACATCTCCACCTCTGCCTCCAGCCCAGACCCTTCTCCCAAATTCCAGGTTCCTAGATGTCCTTCCAGCACCTCGGCACCTCACCTCCTTGCTGTGACTCTCCCACCTTGTCCTTTCTCCATAAAAGTGCTACTCCCAAGGGCCAAGAAGCCGGGAATCTCAACACTCCCCATCTTTCAGTCAGTCACAAGGGCTACACCACCCCTGGACTGTCACCTTCTCTTCACCTCCACCATCATCACCACAACGTCTAGCTTGGACAATTGCAACAGCCTTTGGCTTGGCCTCCCTGCCCCTCCAGTCTCGTCCCCATGCTGCAGCCAGACGGCCACTGTACCTCTCAGATCTGCTCTGAATCTTTCCACAGCTTCTTAGTACCCCTGGGGCCAAATGCAAGCCTCTCCCCTTCCCCTCCCCCAGAAGCCTAACTCCAGCCACACTGAACTTCCTAAATGTGATATACTTTCAGTCTCTAAGCCTTTGCACAAATTGTTCATTCTGCCCAGAAAGCCCTGTTCAACCCTGTGTGCCCAGAAAACACTCACTTATCCTGGCTTGAGCTCTTGCGTTTCCACCATGATGTAAAACCCTGTACCCTGGACAAGGAAGGGTTGTCAGCACTCCTTTGTGCCCATAGAGCCCTCAACTTTCCCCGCTCACTGTTATCCTGCTCCTATATTTCCTCAATTGTCTGTGGGTCTTTCTCCCCCACACAGCTGTGAGCTATTCAAAGAAAGCACCTGGCCTGGACCTGTCCCAAGCATCCAGTCTTGGGCCTGGCACCAAGAAGATGTGAGAAATGTTTGTTGAGTAACAGATGAATTGAATGATACAGAGCAGGAGAATCAGGGCCAGTGGGCAGCTTTCAGCACAGGGTAGGGAAGGACTTCCAACTGGCCTGTCTGTCTCGAAGTGGAACAGGCAGCTTCAGAAAGGAGTAACACCCCACAGTGAGAGGAGACCAAGCAGGGGCGCAAGGCAAATTGGCCAGGAATGATGAGGGAATTGCAGGAGCAGCACAGTCAGATCAGGGCTTTTAGGGCTGTAAAGTACATATGTGTCATCTTCAGATCTTTTTAAAATGCACACTCTGATTCACTAGGGGTGGGGCCCCAGAATCTGCATTTCTAACAAACCCAGATGATGTGGATGCTGCTGGTCTACAGACCTTCCTTTGAGAAGCAAGGCTCCAGATGACCTCTGATGCCTTCTCTCTGAAAAGCCAGCTCTCTTGGGGTCACCTCCCAGCCCAGGGTCAGAGTCAAGGTTAGGGGGTTGGGAGCTGGGCAGGCCAGGTTCAGACAGGATCTAGCCGTAAGGCTGGGGACTCACAGGCCACTCACCACTTGCTCATCCAGCGTAAGCAGAGTGCGTGGCACCTTGGGGGAGGCTGAGCCCAGGCGCAGGCACATCGGGCTCAGTCGCGGCGCCACGGACTCCAGAAGCTTCCTTGGGGACAAGCCCCGCGGGGAACCCGGCGGCAGCGCGTCCTCTGAGATGGTGCCGCGGAGGGTCCGGAGCTGAGGAGGGAGGTTAGAGGCGCTCAAGATCTATACGGACCGTGGAGGAGGCAACCCACGGCCTGACCCCATGACCCCAGCCCACCTGCGTGGTCCGCACGATGATGCGGTAGCTGTGCAAGGTGCCCCCTCCACTGCCTTCCTTCTCCTCCCGCCGCAGGCTCACTGCCACCGGGCCCAGCACCTCATCCATCCCGAAGAAGTTCTGGTGTTCTGGGGAGACCTGGCAGTGGATGATCGGTTCCCCGTCCCACAGCCCCACCCTCGCTCGACCATGCCCATCACTAAGTCCTGCCCTAGGCCCCTTCTCATCACCCAGTGTAGACCCTAGACTAAGTCCCGCCCCCCATGGCTCCACCCACATCACACCTTGCTCCAGACCAGGAGGCCAATGCCTCCCTACTCCCAGGCCTAGATCCTGCCCTGGCCCTGCCCGCTATGCCCATATTCTTCCTTCCATGTCTTGGGGTTGTCTCTTCGCAGAAATGGTGAGATCAAGCGTCCCAGGTGCAGGGCTTTCAGGCCTGAGTATTCACAACAGAAATACAGAAAGGAAATCTCTCCCCAGCTCGGAGGGTTGTGAGGATGAACCAAACAGAGGCAGAGGGGCATGCCGTGGATGGCAGGGAGGACCGGGGGCTGGCCTTAAGGAGGTAGTTAAAAGTGGACCTAGTAGCTTCTGATTCTTTCTATGGCCAGAGACTTTACAGAAAAAGGATAGTTCATGAGCCCTACTGCGTGCACTGCAGATGACAGGGACCTCTGCCCTCAACCCACTCTTGCCCAGTCAAGGACTGCCTTCCCCTCACCTTTGCCATAGAAGTACTTGCGGTAGTAGCCGGCACCCAGGTCTGCGTGCTCCAGGTTGTAGGCTGAGGTTCGGTTCTGTGGCTCTTCCAGGATGGACACAGCCGCATTGGGCAGGGCAGGGGGCACAGGTGGGGACACTGTTCCACCCAGGCCCAGCTCACCCTCACCCCCAAGCTCGCTCACAAAGCCAGGCGCCCCAAGCAGCAGGTCTGAGCTGGTAGCCTGGTCCTCAGCTGAAGCCAGGGTCCCAGAGCTGACCTCTGTGCGTCCCCCTGTCCCCCGTGGCCTTGGAGCCCAATCAAAGAGCAGGCTCTGCACATCATAGTGGGCAAACCATCGGGGCTCAAGCACTGGCGGGAAGGTGGGCTCTGGTTCCTCAGCTGGCAGCCCCAGCAGTGCCAGCGGGTCAGTGAAGAGCCGGGTGGAAGGCAGAGAGGGGCGGCTGGTCTCCTCGTGGCTGTGGGCACGGGCACGGGGGCTGGCTGGTGTGGGGGGCCGGGCCTCTCCTGCATCACTGCCACTGCGCAGGAGCGGGCTACGGGCTGGCCTCGGCTCGAAGGTGTGTGGTGTCAGCGGGGGCCGTGCTGGCTGGCGCAGCTTTCGGGCAAAGAGGTCATCGGTGGGCGCGGGGGCCATGCCCCGCCGAGGGCTCCCCACACCGCCGGCCCACATGGGCGTGTTCTGTGGGCCAGACTCTCCGGGGGCCGGGCCGCATTGGCAGGCACGGGTGTTTGGTGCCCAGCCGGCAGGCCGAAGTTGCGGCAGCAGTTCCTACCCTGAAGGAGGAGGGGGCTACTCAGAGGGGCCTGGGGAGAAAACAGGAACCTGGCCCCTAGCCTGGTCCTCCACCACCCGGGTTGGCTTCCGGCCCCCCTCCGAGACCATCAAAGCCGCTTCCGCTTTCCTGGCCACTTCCTCATCTGCCTAGGGCTGAGGTTTCCAGCCCCCTCCCCACCTTAGTGCTAGGCCAGGCCAGGGGCTGGGCTGTTGGGCCTTGGCCCTGAGGGTCCTGGAGACTGGGCAACCCTGGGGCTGCCAGGGTCCCCCAATTCCCATTCACACACCTTGGCTTTGGCCTGGCCCAGTGTGAGAGTCCCTACCAAGGCCTGACCCAAGTGGACAGACAACTCATTTTGGCTGGGACGGGAAACCCATGGGGCCACCGGTGTCTGGGTCCTGCCCACTTGACAAAGGGAGGACGTCCTGTCTCCAGAGACCTTCCTCTCTGCCCCTTCCACTTCCTCCAGGGTCCCTGAGGAGCCAAGCACCCACAGGCCTGGTCCCAATGCCCTGGCCCTTAGAGCCTTGATACCTCAGGGACACAGGGGTTCCCAGGGAGTGGCAGCGGGGCAGCAGGAATGGCAAGAGGACTTCCTTCGGCACAGGAAATGGCCACAACTCTGGGCCCAGCCCCCTGCCCAGCCTCCACATCCTGAGGAAGGTGCTGGGGTCACACTAGCTCCATCATGGGACTCAAGTCACCCTGGCCTGAAGTACAGGCCAGGGCCCACCCTCTTGCAGACTGCTGTGTCCATTCCTGGGACAAGAGTGAGTCATGCTGACTAGGTCCCTTTACTAGAACTGGGACCCATGGGGACCTCTGCCTACCTGGTCTCAGTGATGTGGACAGGGAGGTCTGGACCCTGTGTGACAGAAAGTCAAACAGGTCCAGATAAGGAGATGCTCTTGCCTGAAGTGATTCCATGTCAGAGCTAGGATTTGAACCTGGGTCTGTCAACCTCCATGGCCTAAACAGAGCTGCACTTACCCACTACTGTCCCTATGTGCGTAGGTGTGGGGAGGGTGGGGGGTTGGGCTGAGACTCAAGGTCTCACAGGATGTAAGACAGAGACACCTAAGGCCCCAGGGACCTGCTAAGTGCGGAAATGTGGCGAGGCCAGGAGTAGGTGCAAAAGGTAGTGTGATAACATGCAGGGGAGTCACACCAAGTTCGTGAACCCTGGGTGGAGTGGGCAGCTTGGGCTGGAACCTGGGGACCCTCCACTGGGGGTGCGGGCATCTGCTGGTGGGTCTTCGTGCATGATCCAGTGACATCACGTGGGGATGGCCAAAAGGGAGTGAGGAGAGGAGCTCTGTACACCCCTCAGCTGGGGCCTCCAGAACTGAGTGAGGCCTGCAACCTTGGTTTTTCCTAGGACAAGCTCTGATGCTGCCCTTGAGCCTGTTTACTCATCTCTAAGATGGGGTTAACTATTCCTGTTCCCTCCCAAGACTGCTGGGACATGGGAAGGAGAGTTAAGTGAGTGAAGCTAGCCATCTGTGTGCATGGCAGGTGCAGGCCCTGGCTCCATGTGCCAAGCTCAGGGCACTGCAGGCTTGGGCCTGGACTATGGTGTGTGAGCGGGGGCGAGAGGGCATGAGGGAGGGGGTCTGTGCAGGCCCCTGCTCCATGTGGGCCGAGCTCTGTGCGTGTGTGAGCACCCAGCCCATGGGCTGCCTCTGCCTCTGGCTCTGCCCCCAACCCTGCAGCTTCACACAGGGTCCATTGAGGCTGGGACATTCCTCGGGGCCTGTGTCACTCGTGGGGGGGAGGGGATCGGCCCCGCTCCCACAGATCCGGAAGGCCTGGCTGCCCCAAGAGGAGGTGCTGGACGCCTCCCAGCACATCTGGAGGTCATGACCCCATTTCTGCTGCCAGGGGGGGGCGCGACAGATGTTTCCTCCCCGGCCAGCCCAGGGACTGGGGGAAGGTGTGCAAAAGATAGGGGAGGAGGCCGTCCAGGGAAAAGGGGAGTCCCAGAATAGGGGGAGCCCCAAACACACTCAGCAGCAGGGGCAGTGGCGTGTGGCCAGCGCCGCCAAAAGGAGTCGGGAGCAGCCGTGTCCACTCACCGGCTCACCAGCCGGGCTAAGCCGTCGCGCAGAGAAGAGAGTGGAGGCCGCCCGCTGGAGACAGGGGACTGGATATGTTGACTCAGGACTGAGCTGGAACCCGGAGGAAGGTTGGGAGGGTGCAGGCGGCGAATGCGGCGAGGCCCCCCCTCCCACACACACACCACCCGGACCCACGGCCAGGTCACCTTCTCTCCTGTCCGGACCGACCGTGGTGCCCCCCGCACCCTGCTCCCGCCGGTACCTCTGGGGCTCCCGCCCAGCCGTCTCCTCCCGCGCCGGGGTCCCGCCGCCTGCTCTCCCGCTACTGCTCCCGGCGCTGGCTCCGCCCGGGGGCGGGGCCGTGGCAGAGGAGGCGGGGCCAGCCGAGAGCTGGCGGCGGCGGGAAGTGCAGCGGGCGGGGACTCCGGGCCGGCGGTGGTCAGCCCTGCGCGCAATCCGAAGCCAGGCCCAGCCCAGGCGAGCTGTCGGGCTTCCAGCCGCTGTACTGACTCTCTCGGCCTGTTTCCTCAGGTGAGAAATAAAAACAAGTGTACCTGCCTTCCAGACCAATGGGGAGGGATAGAGAAGGCCACCTAGTGCCCAGCTCCCCACCTGGCACATAGCAGGTGCTCAGGAACTGCGACTATTTTATTAAGGACTCACTAAGCACTGGGCACTGGGTCATTGCTCTACACAGACCATCTCGTTCAATCCTAAAATACTTTAGACAGGTGTTGTCATCGCTTTAGGGCTTGGAGCGATTGCGGTTCAGAGAAAGGCTTTGCCAAGGTCAGGGTTGATAAATGTAGGAGCCACTAGCACTTGAAGTTTTTGAACATATGGGGTAGGAAACTGAATACAACCTTCAGATGTAGACTTGAAAAGGGAACAGGTCTGTGGGGAAGGAGACCCAGCCCTACCTGAACCCCACCTTAGTTTGACCGTGATTTCCATCACCCCCAGCCCCACATCTTTCACTGGCCTTCTGTGCTCATCTACCCTGATCTGGCCACCTCCTCTATCCTGTACCTATTCCGAGACAGATGAAGAAACTGCCAACCAAAATCAAAAATAGTGTTATTAATTCTGGTGTCCCGAAGCATGGAAAAAAAAATGACAAAAAAAAAAAAAAAAAAAAAAAAAAAAAAAAAAAAGAAATCACCCTTCCCACATTTCAGGCCCCAGGTCCAGGCCAAGGGGGCCACCCTGCAGGCGGTGCAGGCCCAGGGGCTGAGTCAGTCCTGGCCATGGGCTCAAAGTGGGACCTGCCCATGGGTTTGGCTCTTAGGGCCTGGCTGGAGGCTGATTGCCTCAGTTTGGGGAGCCTAGGCCCTAGACTAGGGATGAGAAAGGGTCAAGGACAGAGATCTGGGCCATTCAGTTCTGGTACTCTGGCTGAGACAGCCAGAAGTCAGGGTTCAGAAGTGAGAGCCAAAGCCACTCAGTTCTGTGGTCCAGCAGAGGGCCAGAGGCAGCAGAGGGAGGTCCAAGTCACTGAGTTCTGGGACGGGATCCAGTGGGCACCAGGCCATTCAATACTGGTGCTCCAGCAAGGGCTGGGCAGCCGGGCTCTCGTGTTCCTCAGCAGCAGCAGGCCAGTCACCTGGGGCCCCGGTGGGCGTGCCACTTTCAAGGGCACTGCTGTTCAAGCAAGGAATGTCCTGGGCTGCTCTGTGGGGCGAGACCTCAGTGCTGACATCTGGGCTGAGGTTGAGGTCTAGAGGTGCCTGGGGGAGGGGAGACTGGTTGGCAGGCGAGCAAACAGCCTCCTGGGACCTGACCCTCCCACACACCCCTTACCTGAGATTTGGGGGTACCTCCTTTGGGACTCCCTGAGGCTGGCTCTCCATCAGATCCTCCCAGCCCTTTCCGACCCCCCAGGCTCCACTTTCCACTGAGGCCCTCAGAACTGAGGGGACCAGGGCCAGGGGGCCTTGAGGGCCGGGGACCCTCAGTGGGGGCAGGTGAGGCAGGGGGTGGTCCAGGGAGCCGAGGGGGAGGCCACTGCAGCAGAGGGGGTGGCCGTCCATCACCAGAGCTGCTCAGTGAGGGTCGTGGCCCCCAGCCAGGGCCTGGTGGGAGGGCTTGGTCGCCACTGCCTAAAAGAGACAGATCAGAGAGCAGAGCTCTCAGCTGGGCTGTCCTCCTTGCCCACTGGTTCAGCCCAGCCTCGCCTGCTCACCTGCTGTGTTCTCAGGTGTGGGCTGTGCCAAGGAAGGGTTATTACTGAGGGAGGTCAGGCCGCCGCCCCCACCACAGTCCGAGTCATCCACGTTACCGCCGCTATTGCAGCCAGCGCCACAGCCCTTATGAAGCCTGGGGGTGGGGAAGTGAAGAAGGGGTCAGAGGGGAACATTGCTGAAGCCATAGGCCTCACGAACATAGTCCTCAACCTCAGAACAAGTCATCTGCCACCTCTCGGCCCCAGGATCCTCACCTCTAGGAGATTTTGCTGCCTGCTTTGCAGGGCCTACTTTGAGGAAGGCACTGTTAACTATGCTAATGACTAAAGGCCACCATCAGCTCCTGGGAGGGAAGGGGACACCTCTTGGGGAGTCAAGGTGGCTCTGGAAGAGGGTCATCTCTTGGGGTTCAAACCCTGGCTCCAGAACCTCCTCCCTTTGAGGCCTTGGAGGGAGCAGCTGCACCTCTCTGCTTCTCCTCTGCTTCCTCCTCCGAGCCCAGCACATAATCCCCTCGCGAGGCCTCACCTCTCCCAGCTGTGCAGGAGCCAGCGGGCGATGGCGCCCAGGCTGACTGGCCCACCCCACAGCGCCCGTAGCTGGGGGTGGCTGCCGGCCAATGAGGTGGTGAGGGGTGACACATAGATGGGGTAGCCCAGTGGCTGGTCACAGGAGGAATTGATCATGTTGCGGAGTGCCTGCTTAGCGTTCTGGATACTGCCGCGCTCAGGGTTGCGGTTGCG